CATTTTTAGGGCTGTTCCATTTATTTGCTTTCCTCCTTTGGCTTCCAAAACCATTTTGCTACCTGTCTGCTTCTGTCTCTGGCAGGACTGAAAAGCATAATGAAGGCGTATATTATATCACTTGGTGTTAGCGTCAATTATTTTTTTCTTTGTGTTTTAAATAAATTATATTTCATCTGTTTTATTTATGAATGTAGTTACTCAATATCTGCAAGCATAGCCAAAGATTTTGTTACTTATTGATTGCTGAAATTTTCTTGGCTTTAAAATCATCAGTCAGAGAATTTGTCTGTCATCATTTTTGTTTATGATATGCACTGTTTTCAGAGTATGTAAACTATTGGTGACATATTTCTCTTATATTTTGTGATGGTGATAAGCAACTTATTAAAACTGCAGAGTGCCCTGGTGAGGGCCTTGCATAGGTTTCAGCGGATCGGTGTTCAGGTCCTGTTTCTACTGCAGATTCCCTGTTTGGCCTTTGGAAAAGCATGGTGGGCACTCTCCCCATAATGCAGGAGCGCTACTAAGCTCAGACCTTCCCTGCAATTCATTAGCCTTCTTTACCAGGTGTAACACTGGGACTTACTGTCTTATTTCCCGACATTTTTTCTGTCTGGATTGGGGAAAGGCCTGTTCTTATTTAATGCTGACCATAATCTAGAGCTAAGCCTCGTGGCTTTATTAAAAGATGATAAGAAACAGAAGCTACACAGTGATTTACTGCTGGAATCACAGAATCACAGAATTACAGAATTTCTAGGTTGGAAGAGACCTCAAGATCATCGAGTCCAACCTCTAACCTAACCTTCATGCACACTGTGCTGCTGTCCTGGCACCCATCACCCCATTCCCTGGGCTCCCCAAGGCTCGGCCGTGGCTGCTGCGTGCCACATGGGGTCTGTGTGTGACAACCCCAACCCCTCCACCAGTGGCTCCATAGGGGCACAGAGTGGACAAAACCTGGAGACCCAACCCCACAGGTCTCTGGTTTGGAGGTTGCTCCGCTCTCAGGGTTTGTTCAATGGCTTGGAGGTTTTTTCCCTATTAGAGACAATGTGAGTGCTCTGCTGAGAGCTCTCTGGGCTGGCTGGGGGTCACAACACAGGTCACACGAAGGCTGATACAACTTTGACTTCCTTGCCCTTTTGCAGCCTGAACAAGAGCATGGAAATTTGCTACATATTGCAAATGACTGCTGAACAGAAGCTGTTTTATTGGCTTGGTCCTAAGTCATTTGAGTTGTGTTTTGGGTCTGATGAGTTCAGATACAAATATTTAACCAAACCTTTTGAGTTGATCAAAGGTCATTTCTGCGGTCATCTGAAACACAGTGGTAGGGTTTGTATCTTATCTCAAGCACTGCCTGTGTAGCATGTTGCAAATACACATGTTATGTAAATTTTTAAATGCTGAACCTTAATATATGCTGGACACATCAGAGCCTTTGTCTAATTCCTGTCAGAAGTAAAGCAGACATCAACACTGCGATTTTATACAAGGCGTTAAACAGAGTCCTACCTGAAAATGGTATTTTAGCAGCCGAGATGTTATTTGCAGTAGAACAGGCAAGATGATTTCCACAGCCTAATCTGCTAAAAGCAAATGTTTGGTGAAATGCCAGATTTTAATGTAAAGAGAGAGGAGCGTGGGGATGGATACACTGGATCATGACTACAGCCAAGCCAACCCAGGATCCTGGCTCACAGTGGCTCAAAATGAGGTCCCAAGGAATAGGAAAAGAGTAAGGCAACCACAGACAAATCGTTTTCAGATTGCTCTCCAGCCTCCAGTGATTCCTGAGCCATACTTGGTATCTTTGTGTTTGAGTATCCTCAATGGATTTTTCTGCCATGTCTTTGCCTGATTACTTTTGAACACAGAAAATTTAATAATCTACATCCTGCCAAATGGTGTTCCACAGATCAAGGAAGTGATGTGTGAAGATCCACCTTCTTTTGACTGTTTAAGTGTTGCCAGTTGCTATTTTAGTGCTCTGTACAGGAGGAGAATATGCATTCCCTTCTTACATTCTCCAAAACCCTTACAGTTTCACAGATGTCTACTATAGCCTTTTTTTTTTTTTTTTTTTTTTTTCCTCCTTCTTGACGTAGAGACCCCTTAGTATCTGTCCTACAGTGGAGGAAAACATAATGAGTAAAATGTTTGGCACAGTCTCCTCATCCATGAAATCAATCTGCTAAAAAATAAAGAATATGAAGAGTATGGGACGTCATCTAAGGCTGCTGGTAAACTTCCAGACTCCACCACTGGTCAAGCCTCTTGCTTTCATGTGTCACTGCCTAGGGGCTGCCCCCCACAGCAGCAGGAGCGGGAGGATGCTGCAGTGCACTGTGGATGCAAGCCTTGTTTCTCCCAGTCAACTCCCAGCCTCTGACTAGCAAAGAGAAAGGGCAGAAAGACTTTATCCTTGTAATGGCTAAGGAAAGGTGGAAAACTTGGTCTATATGGAGTGCTGCTAATGCAGCTGATAATTTTCTGGAGTTTGATCTGCAGTCTTCATGAGTTCAGGAAGGTCTTTCCCCATCAAAACATGTAATAGCCATCCAGCCTTCCTTGCCTACTTCTTTCCTTACTAAAAAGTAGGTTTCCTTACTATGTGTCAAACACATAGTTGCATCAGGGCTAAGGGAAGATTCAAATGCTTCATATCATAAGGTATCTACATAAGTGTTATCCAGCCTTTGCAAAGTGCCTGTCTGGAGCAGATACCCCAGCAGACCTTTCCAAGGGGTTGGAGCTTGCACAGTTGGTGATACTAGAAATGTGGTTACAAAACCTTGCACCCCAACTTTCCTTATAATACCCCACTGCCTGGGGCTCAAAAGTTAAGCTGTCCTTTTCAGAAACTGGATCAAGTGTTTGTGGTATGTATAGAATTATGTCAAGGTTGGTCTGTATAAAACTGTTCTTATATATCCCTTGAAATCCACCACATTCCCCATTGCATGATTAGCCAGAAGGTATACATTCTGTAGTTGTAAATGCTTATATACTGAGATTTTCCTATGCTGGGCAAGATTTCTAAATCCTGATTCTGAATATTAAAAGGAAAAACTACTGAAAATTGTCTCTTTTGTCTGTATCTGGGAGTCAGAATGCACTTCTAGGTGGGATGAGCTACCCAGCAAGCACAAAAATGGGGACTTCTCACCCCCACTGGGGATCTGGGAATGTAAACAAACAAACAAACAAAACAAACAAACAAACAAACCAAAAACAAACAAACAAACAAAAAACTTTCCAATGACAGGAATAAAAAATGAAAGATTAAAAAGAAAAAAAAAGAGAGAAAAAAGAAAAAGAAGAAGAAGAAAAAAGCTGTTCCAAACAAAGCTGTCCATGTAGATTTTACTCCAGAACAACTCCATTTGGAGCACTTTTCTCATTTATTTGTTTCCTTCCTAAGGCTTCATTGGGCCTGAATTAACTTCACATTAGAACTGTTACATGACTCACACAAGTCAAGTTTAGTAATATTTGTTAACCTTAATAACAAAGGAGCAGCTCACGCTCTTGATATCTATGCTGTGTCAGAAAATCAGTATAATTTTGCACCCACTAATTCCCCTTTTCTCACCTTGTACACCTATGTACTGCACTGGTTTATAGCACTGCAGGTTTACTGAAACCTGAGCTATGTTATTTAGCAATTATGTGTCTAGTTTAGGAAAAGGGCGCCCATTATTCAGACTCCTTCCCATACCCACATAATTTTTGGAAGGCATTGTCCACTCAGCCCTGGCCCACAGAGAGCCTGAGTACTGGCTGATGCGCAACCCCTTTCACATCCTTTTGTACAGTGGTTTGTCCACCATGTTTAAACATGATCCAGGACAGGATCACATAAAAAGTCACATGAAAAGGAAATACATGGCATAATGCCATGCCTTGTAGTTGGGGTAGAATGGAAGGAAGAAACATGTTGGACCCAAGAGGCTGATGGGTCTGAGTACAGTGTCTGCAGTAGGTTGCTAGCATTTTAGAGACACTGTGCATGATGTACAGACAAGATTTGGCAACGGAGTCCTGGGATTAACTCTTTGGTATCAGGTAGCTGATTCACTGTTTTGCTCCACTTTTCTGCCTGAAAACATACACATTTCTTATCCTGTTTATAGGTTTGGGGATTCCTGTGGGGAGGAGGAGTGAGACATAATATTTTATGTAAGCTTTTATATTGTGTTAAACATTAATAAAATACTATTATATAGCAATTGTTATAAAATAATAAAGTGATAATAATTGAAATATTACATAACTGTTGTATTAACTATTAATAGAGACAATGATTATGTCATTCCCTGATCAGGAAGCCTTTAACTTTCATGGCTCTTCACATCTTCTATGGATTTTCAGCTATTTTCTAGAAACATCACTAAATGAAAAACACAGCAGTGTGCTTTAGGACTTTGGTTTGTAAAAAACTTGTAAACTCCTCAGTGATCATGCAAATGCTGTAGATAGTGTGACTTGTCTGGTTAAAACAGATTATGACAAACAGATTTTACTCCAGAAATCAAGGTGAAATATCGAAGAACTAGGGATTATGTCCTTATTTTCTTTCCGTTATTTATTTATTATGTCCTTTTTGGAGGGAGCTTTTTTCAGCTCCCTCCATTGTGGACGCATACTGGAGTGATACTGGAGTGACTGGCAGGAATTGCTCTATGCTTAAGGGCAACAGCAAGAGTTTAAGCATACCCGTAGCAGCTAGACTCTAGTCTTTCTGCATTTGAGTTTGGCAGCATTAGACCATGATTTCTTTAATCCTACATGAATGATTACCTAAAGGGACACAAGCTGTAGACGTAAAAAGTCCAAGTATACAAACAGAGAGTTCATCACTAGTTTGTTCATTCTTATCGTGGACAGATTAATAAGTAATCTCCTATCTCAGCAGGAATAGTGAGGTGCTATTGGCTAATTTCATCTGTGTGCTTTTGTACTACAGCATATAACTAAGGATGGATTTGGAGGCCCAACCTCAGACTCTTATGAAACTTGATATCTCTTTGTCAGCCCACCATGGAGCTCCTGGGACTGACTACTATCATCTTGCTGGTCTGCATCTCATGTCTTCTTCTCTTTGCAGCATGGAGAAGGATATCACGAACAGAGAAGGAGCCTCCAGGTCCTATGTCCCTCCCCGTCATTGGAAACGTGTTCCAGCTGAACCCGTGGAACTTGGCTGAAAGCTTGAAGGAGGTAAAAAGCTGTCTCCTTTCCTGTGTTGTCTCCATTGCCTGTAATACAAAGCACAGTCCAGACAGTCTCAGCTTAATTCACTAGTGTCAATGCTGCATTGACCAAACATCAAGCTTGAATAGGAAAGGTTTCCCAGAAATGTATGCTTCTGATGTCTTATACTGCGTATTATAGTAATTGTACTAATGACGAGTCCTGTGCTGGCCTCATGGCTGTACTGCATTTTGCAATAGATTTTTTATGAGTACTCTGATGTTATTGCACTATTCACCACATTCCTTTTGTGTCCATCTCCTCACCACTCTGGCAGCAGGGTCTGGCCTTGTTTGAGGGAAGACCCTGCTCTATTTTGTTGCCTTTGCTCCTTGTCCTATAGGTATAATCTCCTAGGAGGGGAAGCAGTGACTGAAGGGGCTGAAGCAAAGGAGTTTGGAGGTGCTGTTCCATTCCCTCCCCTGGCTATTGTCATGCATCTGTCAAACAAAACTGGTGTATTGTAATGCCTGGGAGGGGTTTGGTGAGGGCAGTTTGGCTGTAGTATCTGTTCCTTAGGGGACTGTGAGGGGATGGTGGTAGATAGATGGGAAGGGGCTAAGTCATCACTGGGTTTCCAGACACTTTGAGCAGGGCTCTCGTCCACAGGGTGAAGGCTCTCTGGGGCAAATCCCAGTCTCTGTGGGAGGTCAGGCAGTTGAGAACCTCCAGACTTCACATCCAGCCCCAGTGAATCCACAAGTTTTAACAGTAGTATGAAATGGTGGTACTGTAGTGTTTTGCCAAATACGAATACAGGGGAGGCCAAACAGTAACACAGGTGACCAGGTCACTAGGTTATGCAACAGTAGACTTTTCAGTGTTCTTGTCAGCAATCTGCTACTGTGTCTTTCGTTCAGCTTTCTTTTATTTTTACTCTGTGTGGCAACATCATACAAGCAGCACAATTCCTCGAAACACCTCTCTGGAGAGCTCAAAGGTGTGAGTGCCTGGCACTGTTAAAAAGAAACCCTTGTGGATTAAATATGCTTGAGTCAACATTTATCCCAACTCTAATTTCACACACCCTTAGCATTGAGTGAGATGAGGATCTGTTGAATCAAAGCACACTCCCAGCTTCCACACTGTGAGTGACGCTGAGCCTCTAGCTGGGGTGCAGTTAAGCTGCTCAATGTATTGGTGCATATCAGACCTTTTGTCTGTCACAGTGTTGTGGGATCTTCAAGTGTTTCCAGAGACAAAAAGAAAAAAAAAAAAAAAAAAAAAAGACTTTCATATGAAAGACTAGTGTTGACCAAGCCACTTCTGAGTGTTCACTTCGGAAAAAAATGTGGCAATGGCTAGCATCACCATGTCCATCAGCAGATGCACCCTTACCCATATGAGCTTCTTTTTGCCTTGCTGCTAGTGACTGTTGAGCATCACAAGCACCCCGCATTGTTTCAGAGCCCTAGGTCACTTGGTTTCTCAAAAATATTGGGACTATAACTGTCTTGTTCTTAAAAAGTGAACTTCAGAAGAGGTGTTCCAGTTCAGACCAAATGGCCCAATAATCTTTCTGCAGCTATAGCTAAAACCAGATGCCTGGGAAAGAGTACATGATAAGCACGAGGATGCAGTGACTCTTCACTGGTGTACTCATCCAATTTACAGAGATCTGTGGATTTTAGAGACAACTGTAGTATTTTATGTGCAAAAGCCCTTCAGGGACTTGCTTTATCAAGTGTATGTAATTGTTTTTTGAGCTCATGCAAAGTGTTACTATCTACCACGTACAGTCAAAAGGTGTTTCAGACCATTTGCCAGCCTCGTGAAGATTAATTTCCTTATCCCTGATTTGGACCTGACACATAACCGTTCCTATTCAGATACCCTATTTCTCACACAATTCCCCTCTAGGTGTACTCCATAGGCGAAAGATCTCTGCACTGCTGCTAATCAATGTCGTGCCTCAGTGATGCTGGAATATTATCTTTCAGATCTCTTAGCTACAATTTTTATTTTTATTTTTTTAACATGATTAACATCCAGATGTGGTCTTTGTGTTCTTTCTTCCTACAGCTCAGCAAGAAGTATGGTCCTGTCTTCACAATACATTTAGGCCCCCAAAAGGTTGTGGTGCTGTATGGCTATGAAGCTGTGAAAGAAGCCCTGATCGATCAGGCAGATAACTTCAGCGGAAGAGGAAATCTGCCATTGCTTAAAAAACTCTTTGAAGGCACAGGTATGCCCCTGGTAATGTCAGCATGCAAAGCCCAGGCAGTCAGTGCTTCAGGAATACAGCTGAGAGGGCAGTGGTGGATTTCATTTACTAGTTTCATACATAAAAAATAGTAGGAAAAGATTAAAAGCCCTGGACCTTTGAGTAAACTGAACCCCTGGAGAACTGTTTAAGATCCCAGGTTGGCTTCAGTCAGTTCCTTTCTATTTCCACCACTCTTCTAATTCTGGTTAAAATCTTGTTCATGAAACGTGCCTCTAAGATCTTACTGTTTTTCTCCCATTTCTGAAAATACTGGGAAGATACCCACAGCTCAGGAGCCAGCAAGAGGAAATCCCAGAGCATAATAGCAACAAGCTAATATCGTCTGTCCTTGTAAGGGTCACACTCAGGATTGGGCCCTGGGCCCATTCACTAGGACAATTCCCAGTATGGCATTTAACCACATACATGGTTATTCCAGGGTACTTATGTTCCATGGTATTTTAAGGGATCACACATTGTGTGAAAGTGCACAGCTGAACATCTGGTCAGTTACCTCAGTGCAAAGGCCATGTGCTGGTGGCCAAGTTCAGGTTAGTACCGGTGGTGCCTTCTTATTTACATCCTGATGTAGTTTCTCTTATTCTGTGAATAAAATTCTGTTTTATTCAAAGTGCTGTGATCACATTGATCAGATTTGTCATCTCCAGAACTGAAGAAAAGTTAGATTTGGGGGCATACATGTACAGCGATTGTGGTAGAACTCCGCAGAGAGGCATATTTGCATGTTGAGAATTTACCACGTAACACCTATTTAGGGGGGAAAACATCTGTTTCTTCTGTTTTTCCTTCCTGTCAGGCATTGTAACCAGCAATGGGGAGACCTGGAGGCAGCTCCGACGATTTGCCCTCACCACTCTGCGTGACTTTGGGATGGGGAAGAAGAGTATCGAGGCACGAATCCAGGAGGAAGCTGGTTTTCTGGTGGAGAGGCTCAGGAACACACACGGTAGGACATGGACTTTGTGCCTGCTAGGACACTGTGAATCCGCAATGGGACAGTGAGGGCTGTGGGGCTGCTTTGCCAAACCTGTGACCCAGGAAGTGGGTATACAGCTCCTATTTCTGCTATTTCAACCTACAAATGCATTTTTTTAGTAGTATGCAAATTAAGACTACTTATTTTAAGTACCTCCCCTGAGAGTGGCACCACCCTGGACCACAGGCTTCCTTTGCACAACCAACCTTCATGAGTGATAATCAGCAGTGATAATCAGCATCCACAAGATGGACCTAAATAGATGACAATCACTGTTTCCTATGAGCCTCTAGGAAATTGTGACCCTTCATCTCTGGGTCACTTCGTTCTGGCATCTTTTACTATGTACTAAAAGGCTGCGCAAGCAAGATATATGCAAATGAAAAGTATAAAGCATATTTATTCTCAAAGCTAACAATAAATAGCTAGGAGTACTAATCTACTAGGCTTAGGGTTATTATGCTCACCTCTTCTAATGGGACTCTGGATGGGTCTTTGCTGGCCAGGGAGTCATCAGACAGGCAGGCAGAGAAAGGTCGGCTGCAGTGCTCCTTGGAACAGACTGCTCCTCAGTGCTGTTAAGTTGCCATTTTCTGTTGCCTTTTTTTTCCTTTAAGATTGTATACCTTTTCATCTTGATGCTTCTCCTCTTCCATCCTTGATATGTACTGCTGTCTGCAATTTTATAATATTTCCTGTCTTTCGTGGGTCTAATACCACTTTTTCTCACACTTAGGTAATTTTCTAAGAAGTTTATTCAGCTATGTTATCAAAACTCTACTTTTGATCATGGGTATCTGAACCCCTAGGAGAGGGCTAGACAACTGAGGTTATGCTAATAGAGTTTGTACACAGGGTGCAATAACTTAAAGACATGGATAATGCAAAGTCCTTAAAATTTTCCTTAGATTTTGGAGGGATTCTTCAGGCTGTTTCTAATAGTCTATAATGCAGAGAAGGCATGTATCAGCTGAAGAGGAACCAAGCCACTCAGACCAGTGTTCTGGTGAGAACAGGAAAAAAGAGGTATTTAAACAACCTAAACAGGAAAATCAGATCACTTAAAGTAGAGAAAAATAAATTGGATAAGCCCTCCACCAGCTTCTCAGAGAACTATATAACTCTGAGTCTCAAAGACTCATAGTAGATGCAAAACTTCCCCATAGTGTTGGAGGAGGGAATAATGACCAAAATACTGAAAGCAAGGTACCGTTTTATTTTTGTTGCAGAGAAACCTTTTGACCCTAGCAGTTTCTTAATCCATGCTGTTTCCAACATCATCTGCTCTATTGTCTTTGGGGATCGGTTTGATTATGAGGACAAGAAATTTCTAACTTTAATTCAGTTGATGGAAGAAAATAACAGGCTTCAGAACAGCGTACAGACACAGGTATGTGCAATTTCATTTCAGTACTAAATTAATTAATTATTATGGTTTTAATGAATATTTATTCACATTATTCATTTTTCATTGGGGTAAATTTTCCTAAATATGGAGAAGAATTTTCCTAAATACGGAGAAGGCCAAAAAGTCAATTAAATGATCAAGTCCTGATTTTGTGTGGTGTTTTTTTTTGTTTGTTTTTGTTTTTGTTTATTTGTTTTTATTTTAATTTATGGACTCCAAATTGTTTGCCCAGAGAAGGGTATCATTGCAAAAGTAGCTCAAGTGGAGTCTATCCTTGAAACCATAATGTAAAAGGCATTAAAATCCACTTGAATAATACAGGCCTACTGTTCCAAAATGCTTAATTACTAATTTTCGTAGTAATAGTTAGGGGAAAAAAATATTGTATCTACATTGAGCAAAATGTGCTTTTGCATCATTTTATTTTTACAGATATACAATTTCATCCCAAATATCATGGACCGTTTACCTGGACCCCATAAGACACTCATTAAAAATATTGACAATGTAAATCAATTTATTTCTGAAATAGTAACAGCGCACCAGGAATCTCTGGATCCCAGTTGTCCTCGAGATTTTATTGATGCTTTCATCAACAAAATGGAACAGGTAATGTAAGAGTGAGAGGATTCTGGATGTCAGAGTGAGAAGGTTTTGGATACTAAGAATACCACTGCCTGAATCCCTGTGTCTTCTCGAAGTTCTAGAAGGTCACTGGGCTTTTGCAAACACAGAGGGGAATACACTTCTATTGGCACCATTGTTCTATGCTCACCTTCATTTTACCCTCTCCATTTTCTTTTTAAAGATTTTTAAACACAGAACTAACAGCAGCATAGAGCACTAGACAACCCTAGGACAGCTGGTGATAAACCTGACTGATGTAACTTTGAATTATATTCCTCCGATGTCAAAAATGTTCACATCATTCAGTAGAAGTACCATAATTGCTGGTGTTCTGGAGATCATTTTATTTTCAAAAGGAAATTAGACGTACTTAAAAACATATGTTACAGGAACAAGACTTTCCTTTGTAAACAAGCTTCTTAGCTTTCTCATTCAAAGAATTCTGCTAAATCTTCCTTCAGGAGAAAGGGAAAAGTCACTCAGAATTCACCGTTGATACCTTGACCAGAACCACGCTCGACTTGTTCCTTGCAGGAACAGGGACAACCAGCAATGCCCTGAGATATGGACTTCTGATACTCCAAAAACACCCAGATATTGAAGGTAAAAGAAAGGGAATAAACACCTGAAAAAAAATTTAATAGGACATGGGTGCAATTTGTACAATTCCTGTCACTGCCACAGGTGGCAATGGTCCCCTGGAAGATGTCTGTCAGTCTTAGTTCTATTCATAGGAGAGAGGCATTAGTACTAAGTCCATATATTCTTTAGGCTCTAAAAGTTTTGCTGTAGCTCTAGGGAGAGGTTTAGGCAAACAGACGAGAGATTTGACCATCCAACACTTACTTTCCTAACAGAGAAAATGCAGCAGGAGATTGACCGTGTGATTGGCCGAGACCGAAGTCCTTGCATGGCAGACCGAAGCCAGATGCCCTACACAGATGCTGTGATTCATGAAATCCAGAGATTCATTGATTTCCTTCCACTTAATGTCCCACATGCTGTGACCAAAGACACCAAGTTCAGAGACTATTTTATCCCCAAGGTCTGTTCCACTGTTTCTGAGAAAGGTCATAATCTCTTGAAAACAATGATGAGTTCTATTCATTATCTTTTACTTTGCTTATTTTCAAACACACAGAAATAATATATAGAATCAGAATAATTTAGTATGGGAGAGTATCCTGAAAGTTATTGAGTTAGCTCCCTCCATTGTATTTGAAAAAAGCCTTTCCATCCTCTGTGTGAAGGAGATGGAGCTTTCTATTTTTCACATAAACATAAACAATCAAAGTTCTAATTTATTTAAAAGCAATGTTAAATACTCGAACCAACCTTAGTATTAAAATTCATTACAGAACATCTTTAGCATACTTATAGCAGATATTTTTATTTATTAAATGCTCGTTTTAAACTGGTCAAACTTTGCTGACTCAGATAAAATATATTCTGTTACCTTTTAAAGAGGTAGGGGAGTAAAGGATCATGAATCGATTATCAGTAACAATGTCTTTCCAGCTGTGCTCTTTTGCTTAGGCAAAGAGTGCTTTTAACCTTATTATAGCATATGTGAGTTAAATAGTGATTCTTTTTACCAATTTTCTGTATCATCAGAATTTTTGTATCCCATGTGTATGTGCAAACTTAGGTATACAGAGATCTGGGATTGACCAGAGGTCTGCTTAGTTTTCCCTTGTTGCTTTCCATCCAATGTGTGTGATGATCACAGAGCTTACCCAGGCCAAAACTACAGGGGAATTAAATAAATGAAAGCTGGAGCTTCCTATTCCAGTCTTCATTGTTATCAGGATATTGACTCCATAAAAACTTTGCCACTGGGTTCTTTTTCTATAACAAATGATTTCAAAGCTGATACAGTTGACAAGAGAATTTATTTTTCAACGTTCTAGAGAATGCATATGGTCTTCTTGAGGTATCATTATGCATTAAACATTATGCAGTGCTCTAAGTTTTTATTTCCCTTTGTGAAATAGTCCTCCTGATTTTTACTTATTATAAAAATAATTGTTATTGAATGAACTGCTTCTCTGGAAGAATGTAGCCAGTTAACTCCTATACATGAATGAGTACTGTTGATCTCGGTCAACTCTTCTGAAAGTTTTTTCCTCAGGAAAAAAAAATATATATAAAAAAATTCCTGTTTCCCTAAACCTTTTAAATCCCACCCAAAAACCCACTTATGGCTCATGAGGAGTTCTACCAGCCTTTCTCATGAAATTTTAATTTTGCTACTTCTGACAGTTATATGTACTGAGACTACATAGCATTTAAACCAAAGCAGTGCCATACTGTTCAGCTGTGGGAACTGCTCAATACTGCTGTGTTTTGGCATGTCCCCACTTGAATTTTCTTCTCTCTTTGCTAATTCAGGACACTATGATATTCCCTATGCTGTCTCCCATCCTAAAAGACAGCAAGGAATTTCCAAATCCTGAAAAATTTGACCCAGGACACTTCCTGAATCCAAACGGTACCTTTAAAAAGAGTGACTACTTCATGCCATTTTCTGCAGGTAAGAGCTCTTTCTGCTTCAGATCCTAGGCTGTGCTTTGCTAGAACCTCCAAACATTTTGGGGGCTCTGTCACCACTGTCTGTACAGTGATGTAGAATAGAAGAGTCACTTCTGGGCAACCCTAACCCCTGTACTAGAGTTTCAGTTGGCTTACTTTCTTAGTAGTTACAAAAGACCACCCGATGCATTCTACACAAAGGGATGCATGAGGTGAGACTCACAGCCATGCCACTTCTCTCTCTCCAGACTTACCATCAAACAGCAGCAGAACATGAAAAACTGAAGCCTTCAAACTGCCTTTCCCCACTGAGTGCACTCACATTATTTTGGATACTGAACCCCTAGTTTAACTCAATTCACTTCCCAAAAAAGCTCCAGTGCTGCCCAACTATTCTGAGATGTCCGAACTTTCAAGGAACAGGGGTTAAAATAAGTTACCAGAAAAATAACTCTACAATCACCTCCTTTTTTATTATTTGTTCTTTGCAGGAAAACGCATCTGTGCAGGCGAAGGCCTGGCCCGGATGGAGATATTCATATTTCTAACATCCATTCTGCAGAACTTTACTTTGAAACCTGTTGTGGATCGGAAGGACATTGACACTTCCCCAATAATCACCAGTCTGGCAAATGTGCCCCGATCTTACCAGGTCGGTTTTGTTCCCCGTTAGACAATGAAGACAGTTGGCAGCTCCCAAATTCATGAAAATTCTGTTTGCATTGAAGTCATTTCCCAGCTTGATGAGACTGAGATCATTGTTATATTCTTTATGGAGATAAATATTATACTTAAAAAAAAATTTGTATGGTGTTTTGATAATCACCACAGCCAGCTCTAAACAGAGGTAGAGTAGGTAATTGCATAGCAACAACAGCTCCCTATGCTGAACGATAGAGGGTCTCCTCTGCCTAACTCAAGTTCCTACCTGGTTCCTGACATCCTGATGTGTCAGGCTGTGTGGACTAGTGCTGTGAGAGCCCAGCTGCTGCTGTCTCTGTCACCTGCTCCTCTCAGCACAGCAGGAATAGATGCTTGCATTAGAGGCTTTTTCCAGACCATGCTTGAGGTACATTTCTACTCTGTTTTCAGTTTGTTTGTGATCTACTTGTAAACATAAAGCGATATGGAATGATTTTCTTCTGTTAGAAGATGACCATCTACTGTAATCTTGCCCCAGTACAAATCCTCCCATATGATGGGGATGGAGTTAATCTGATGGCTGGGCAGATGGGTCCTCTCTTGTGTGATTATAATGAAGATCTGTACAATTAGAACTTATACTGCAAAATAAAGAGCAAGTAATGCACTGAATTGCTTTGTTAAGATCCTAGAAGGACATGTTTTACTAGAAAACCTTTCTACACAAAGCTTAGACTCTCAAATGTTTTCCAAGATTTGTACATATTTGACTTTTATTTCACTCATTTATATGAAAAGCATTACAGCTTGAAGACTGAGCTACAATGACCTATAAAACTTATATTTTCAGTAACAATGTGGTAGAAGGCTCAATTCGCCTTATTAGACCTATCAGAACCAGAACTGTGATTACAGCACTGACCATTGTGCAAAAGAGGACAAATAAAATAATATTGGGATCCCCATGACGTCATTTACTAGCTGAGTGGCAGCTTGCATCTTCCCATTACTTTTATGAAGTATGTAAAGATCTCTAAAGCAATTTTACAACCATTAGGCAGAAAGAGATAAAAGGAATTTACATGAGATGCCAAGCATAGATGTACAAATGTAGAACTGGATTTCCCAACTTGATCACATTTCCACCAGTGTATAACTTATAGTGCTTACAGTGACAACAGAGAGCTGAAACTATGCTATGTGGAACAATGCAGCAATTGTAATATTGCCACAATGGCATTAGCTGTTCATGTAAGCAGCCAAAACATCTTTCCTTTCGAAGTATTAATTAGTTTGATATACCATGAGTTGTTAGCATGGCATTACAAAGTCCATAGCAAAAAATATTACAGAATCACAGAAATATACATGAAAAAAATATCATCTAGCTTATAACTATATACAACCAGGACCAACTGTTAGAAGACTTCACAGCAGGAGAAAAAAAAAAAAAAGCACTCTGTACTTCCCCTTCAGCTGTTCCATGACTAAAATAAGCAAAGCAAATGGCCTAAGGGGCAACTTCCCTGTTCCAGATATCTTCGTCCATGCTGAATAAATAGAGCAGGCAGCCAGTACAATTCAGCAAGAAAACAGCTTTAGCTCACAGAGACTCCACCATGATACCGAGCAGAAATTAGAGATAAAGGAACACTGAGGCTGGCTACTGAAATAGTCCTGACTGTTTCAGGAAATACTTGTCCCATAGAGATGACCTACCCAGCTCCTAGTGTGGAAAGCTGGGTGAGAATGACAACACTGCCATCTGTTTTCCAGGTAGTAACCCAGACATTGCAAAATGCAACAGACACCATCTACAATAGCAAGAGAATGGGACCATTTAATGCCTGTAAGCCAAAGGTCTGTTCAGCTTCAGACAGGTTTTGCTCCTGTACTAAATGAAACATCAGCTCTTCCCTTTTCTGACTTTGCAGTTACATCCTCCTCCTCTACCCAGCAAGAATCTGTCAGGAAAGTACATGTTCCCCTGGAGAACTTCTAGGACAGTGGAATATGTCCTCTTCCACCAAACTCTTTGTCAATCAGAACCACTTTCACAACACCACGTCCATATAACACCACTGCATATACTGTGCCCAAAAATATATTGTGAACATGAGACTATCCTTCTTACTGAGCTGAAACAATTTACCAAAAAAGAACACAGCTTTTAAATTACACCCATTTAATTACAAGAACATGAGCAAGTCATACTACATAGAAATGAAAAGTGCTCTTTTAGTTATTCTTTAGCTGCAACATGTTTCCTATGAAGGGCAAAGGAAATGGCCCAGGAAGTAGCTTCCCTGTTTCAGACATCTCCAGTGCTGAAGAGACAAGGAGGCATGAAAACTAGCAAGGAAAACTAGCAAGGAAATGGTTGTGGTTCCCAGGGGTTCTGTTCCAATGTGAAGCAGGGATGTGGGATCAAAGGAGAGCTGATGCTGCATCCTGAAAGTCTCACTTTATGTAGCCTATGGTAAAAACAATAATGAAAAGATAATCAATAGATCTAATTTCTTCCAGGTTAAACATAACTGATTAGATAAAATCACTGCCTGCTGACAGATCTGGATGAACTGCTTTAATTTGTTATTTTTGGTGACCTCTGTCAAGGTTCAACTTTGTTCTACTGTAATATCAGAAAGCAGGGACAAATACTAATCATTAACAAACTTCATCATACTTAAATATCATGTTTGTGTTCTTAGTACTTTTGCTTGTATGTTTTTTCTCAGATGTAACACTCACATACAACAACATATATAATAATTATATATTTAGCTTCAGGCCAATATCCATTTGTGATTGGCACCCCATTGGATATCTTTTAACATTTCTATTGAACAAAGAGTTGCATGTAAAAAAGTATACTCCATTCTAGAAGAGTTATTTTCCAGCTGTTGAACACATTGCAGTTTCCATTAATGATTCAAGACCCCATCCTGAATACTCTGGACATCTCCACAGAATATTATTCAGAAAGTTGGATCAGACTCAGAATCATAGAATCATTTAGGTTGGAAAATACCTCCAAGATCATCAAATCCAACTGTTAAGTCCAACTTCTGAAGAACCTGTTGGAGCAGCTGAGTAGAAATGCCTCAAGGGTGTTTGGGAAAAAATCCTTCTCTGGAATTGAACGCTTCTGTTTCTGCTTAAATAGCTGTATTTTCTAGGCTATTAGTCCCTGGTTTGCAGTTACAGTCCTGTCAAGAACTACAGACTTGTCAAGAACTGCTTCATCTTCAAAGCAGCTGCACAAACCACTTTGACAAGATACTTTGTCCCTTGACTTTTATCTGTCAACCCCTCTTCCCTGTGTGATCTTCCATGTTCTTCCCTTTGAGCACATGCTACTTTCTTATTATCTTTTCCACCAGGAAATGCCACAGAAGAGAAGAGATGATGTTTTAATATCCCTTGTGCCTCCTCTGAGATGTCTAATGGACTTTCTGGGAAAAATGTTTGAGCAACAACCAAGCTGTGCCTTGGCTTTTAGACTATACAATTCACTAGTAATATGCTGTTCACACACACTTCTCCATGCCTCTTCTGTGGTGCTGCTTTTCAAGGACCTGCCAACCTTGCCGTGATTTGAATTCTACCAGTCACACAGAGGGCCCTCAGGCAGAGAAGGGAATGGTCACTTAGAGACAGAACTGAGAAAGCAGCTGCCAGCTCTTACCACTGGCATATAAACACTGAGGTACCCATTCTCGAAAATTTCCTCAGTAAAAATTCACTTGTGGGACAAGCTCCTCTTCCCATCTCTGCTTCCTGGAGATATGATACTCAAAAAGTTTGTGAAAGAGTTTGCTATTTCTTAGCTCTCTTACCTGAAAACACTACGTGAAATCCATGGCTAGACAGACTTCCATCTTCAGAATTCCTGAGGCTCCAGAGTTCATCTTTGTAATTGTAAAATATCACTGTATTTTCTACATGTAGAAAAGCAATTATTTCAACACAATACTGGTTCTTACTTTTCCTGCTTTAACTGCTTAGCTTGGGCAAGTTTTCTCTACTGACACATCACCCCCTTGTGGCCATCTTGCAATCCTGTCAAGAAAAGACAATGAGCAGCAAAATGCTGTATTATTTTTCTTTGAAATTTTCTATGCCCTGATCTTACAGATTCCCAGAACTTCCAACAGCATTCTGGTTTGTATGTGGTGAGTGGATCTCACCACATTGTCTACCTGTGAGTAAAACAAGCCATGGCTAAGCCAGCAGTTACACTAAACCAGATCCAAATAGGAGTGTCACTGCAGTATATTTAAACCTATTCTTCAGCCTTCTTTGTAAAAAGAATTTTAATTAAAAGAATTTTAATTAAGAATTCTAAAAGAATGTAAAAGATTCTTTGTAAAGACACAAATCAGACACTAGACCTTTGACTATAAAGAGATAGGATAGGGCAGGCCGGAAAGCTCCACACAGACTGAGCATTCTCCAGGTTGAGGTAAATACAGAGGTAACAAGATAAAACGGCTTTTGCTTGCATGGGAGCGTATTTACTTGTCCACTGTCACTCTGTCCCCTTGATGCACTCGGCCCTAAAAGATGAGAAGCAGAACCTGTTAACACCAGCAGTGTGGATGCTCTCTTTAGAGGATTCCAGTTTAGTTTCCAGTTTAGAGGATTCCAATTTCCAGGATTCTCATTCCAGTTTTAGTTGTGACATTGACAGAATCCTCTGCTTTCAGACATGTCTTTGGAGACCCTATAAGGTGCTGATTAGTGGTGTTCTGTACAGTCATAATCTGCTTAATCAAAATTTTCCAGTTATCTGCTGAGCAGAGGACAAACTCTAGCCTTCATGTCCTTGACAATGTGTTATTGTTTAGCTAGCAACCGTCTTTGAGTGCAGTCTCTTCTGTCTAAACACTCTGGCCATACTTGTATCCAACTCCTGTGTTTGGAAAAATTCCTACTGGGTTGCCATAATGTCCAAAGCTACCATTGGCAATATATCATGCTGCATGCACACATTAGGGAAAGAAAGTCTTGCTGGCACAGGATGAGCTTTGTACATTGAACACTACTTGAGGGTGAGAAACACAAGTGTCTCATATTTTCTTTTACGAAAGACTTGTAGCCCTGAAATTTCTTCACCATTGTGTGCCTCCCCATGGCCTCAAGACAAGCAGGTGCCCT